GGTAATAGTTTTGTATGTGTAAAAACTTAAAGATATAATTACGTATAGCAAATAAATAATGAATAAAATTAAATTAAGCAATTAAGGTTTAAAAACTTAACATATATTGTCAGTTGTAACTTCCTAACAATTATAAGAAAATTACATTAATAATCTTAAAACTTAACTTTTAGTGAGGGTATTCTTGGCAATTCAAAGTTTCAAGAAACTACTCTTTCAGAAAGAGAGTTATAGATATATATTATATGTTTGATTTATCGATCTAATATTTTGTAAATATTGTGTATAGATTCTCTTCTCCCACTATATATTCGATTCTATTTCTTTCAACTCTTACATATTTCTTAGCTAATTTTCCCCACCATTTAGTCAAATGATTTTCATTTCTCCACACAGAATAACATCAACCAGCCAACCGCTCATTTGCCAGAGCAGGTACGCCAACAAAGGAAAAAGATTTGACAATAGACTTAACGAATTAATTAATTCATAAAATTACATTGGCTCTATATGAAGATTAAATAGAGAATGACATCATAAATAGTGTAAGGGCTTCTTGTGTCCTCATTTATGTGCCAATGAAGCTCGTGAGTAGCATAGTTTTAATCTTGATTTACTGCTTCATGTTTTATTCTTGTAAGTGAAGGCACTTTGTAAAGAGATCAAGTTCATTTTTCTCCCTTTTCGATCTACAACCAATTTGGGAAATGACATTTGACATCACTTATTGTGTATTAGTTTTTCGAATAAGATAAACTTTTGTGCAACTTTCCACTAATATCGTTTATGCTTCATTTGCGCAATAATTGAATTTAATACTCGAAAACATATATGTCTTTATTTTGTAGGTTATTCTTGCTTTTCACCGAGCATGACTTTGTTGAACTTAACATTATTGTCATTGTTTTAAATCTTGTCTATTTCTGCAATCACATACTTATAGGTGGACCGACATCATGAGGGACGACGAGCGGTGGGAACGTGAAGAATGTGGCCTTCCTACAGAGATCCTGGAGTTGGTCATGTTCCGTCTCAACCTCCTTGAAAACATACGTGCCTCGGCTGTCGGAGGGATTCTATAAGACCCCTAAGATCTGCATTTAAAAGTTGCATTTATCTATCTTAAATTGACATTCAATTCAACCATAACCCTATGTCATGTAAGAGTTTGAATTATTTTTCATATTTCAAAATGCATACGTGGTCTGAAAGCTCAGGTTTTGTGTTTCATCGACTCATTTTGCGCAAATGAGTCAATCACTGATTTACTTATAGTGCCTAGAAAAATATAGATTTTGCACAAACATCATTAATCTTGTTTTTGCATCACTTTCACAAATGAGGAATTTATCGCCCTGAAGTGATACTTTGATGGGAGTATGATTTTGTTGTGCAACAACCAGAATTAAGAATGTGGCAGTGAGTATTATCTTTTCCAAGGTGAAGCTGCACGGGAGCCATTGCGTGATGTATCCTTTGAGTCACAAGAGGTACTATTTGGATGCCTAGCAGCTTTTTACTATAGCAACGTTTGAGTAAAGCAAACACTTTATTTTTTCCGTAGGGCAATGGGAGTAAGAATGTGAGTTTTTTCTTGTTCTTCGTATTTCTTTTGTTTTATTTTTTAATGAAATGAAGTTAGAAATTGGTGTCTGCATGTCATTTTATTTTTGTATATTACATGAGGCATAGTCATACGTAGGAAAGGAGATTACATTTGCAAAGACCGACAATTCTCTGAATGTTGGAAGAGGCAGTTCAACTATGATTGATTTTATGTTGAAACTTGTATTATCTTAAGGGATATTAGATTGTGACAGGAGTTGTTATTCTTACGTTGTGGTGGAAAAATCGTAATTGGTGAGGGAGAAGAGCAATCATCAACGATGCCGGAAAAAGGAACGAGTTTTCACAGCATCCGCATAAGAGGCCATAATGCAAACGGGGGTAGACAACCGGGCATGGGTGTCTCTTCATTGTACTAGCTTTACCCCAACCGGCACGAACGGACTTTACTGCGACAGAGCTAAAGGTGGCACGCGCATACCACTCGTTTGACCTGAAAACATGGCCAAGCATTGCTCGCACGCACACTTTGGATTATTCAAGCCAAGCAGGCTCCTTCCTCTATTTTCTTTTTATTTTGATTGAACTGAACGTTCTTCTATTGTCGTATATAACAAGTAACCTAATAAGATATAACAGCTAACCAGGAATCAACGCGCTTTTGATAGCACGTGCTCGATATAATTGACATGTTCCGGTCATGGAATAGATGAAATAAATACAAAAATGGATTTTTGTCTGATCTTGTTTGTCCCGCAGGAGTTAAGGAGGCAGAGCAGAAAGGATGCAATCCATTCGAAGCGACTTTAGACTACAGAGGTTACTTATGTTCCGACTACGACCCTACAGGAGTTGTTATTCTTTTATCACATTAATTTTTGCAAAACATATGTTGTCTGAAATCTCAGTTTTTCATGTGTTCCCGACATTTATACTGTTCTTGACGGTGTCACCTCCGTATGCGTGATACTGAGCAATTTTGAACATTGATTAGTATCTTGAATAAGGAAAGTGTGCAACTGACATTTATTTCATTTGTGCATTATTTGCGCAGCCGTGAAAGTTATTATTCCTTAATATTCATATGTATTTATTTTTTTTCCAAATCAAAATACTTATGAGCTTATTATTGGGTAATCAGAAGTTGTGGGCCCTCTGAAATGGGAATATGGTGGGGAATATTGTCTTTTCCAAGGTGAGAAAAACTCATAAACTTTTGAGTGACTACACAATTAACAAAATTTATTTCATAGTTGACCCAATTTTGGGATCTCACCATGCAGAAATCACTCCCCCACCACGCCACAAGTTAAAAAGCACTGTTGTGAGAAAGAGGATTTGATCTTTTTTTTTTCTTGGGCCATATATATATATATATATATATATATATATATATATATATATATCTCACACACACAGACACACGCAGATACACACACACGATCAGGTTGAATTTTCTATGAGCTAGAATTTTTCCTGATTTAACCAGCTCTTAATAAAATCAATTGGCTCGATTGTGTTTGCATATCCCTTTTCTTTCATGGGAAAATGTTATTTGTGATTAGAAGGAAATTTACAGGGTTAAAGGGTTTTGTGTATTATTACATGTGACATACAACATTCATTTTTTTTACTTGGGGTCGTGCAAACATAGCTAAATTCTATAAAGTAGTTTATTGATAGCAGTGATTGAATATGCATAATTAAAAGAAGTTGCAATGTTTTGATGGTGTCCTATATTATCGCGCTAAGGAAACGCTTCCACAGTGTTTATTAGTATCCCGAATAAGACAATTTTTTATATGTGCATCACATGCGCAACAGGAATTTATCACCATAAAATTGTACTTTGTTTTTCTGTTATATTTCCCCCCATGAAAATGCATGGAGCATGACTTTTTTTTGGGCTTCATAATGGACTAGCGAAATTTGTGGCTAGTTGATCTGAATTTGTGATGTCAGAGAATGTCGTCTTCTCCAAGGTGAAGTGGCATGGGAACATGTGTGTCATGTACTGAAACAGCGAGGAGCCCTGCCTCATAGTCTTCAAAATCCTTCAATCTTGACCTATTTTCACCACCATTTTATCAAAAGGTTTGCATTTCTTCTCAGAGGCTACAACCAACCACTCGTTTTTCAAATTTTTGCTCTTTATTTCCTTAACTTTCTCATGCAACTCAGAGATCTACCTATCCGACCAAATGGTTTGTCCCTTCAATTCCTCTCATTATGAATTATTATAGGTTCATTAGGTCGATTGAGTTGATTTATTCTTATGCGGTAGGTAGATTGTATATATTTGGTAAATATTGTACATAAATTCTCTTCTCCCATTATATATTTGACTCTCTTTCTTTCAGATCTTACATTTCTCAACTTATTTTCCCCACCACCAAATGATTTTCATTTCTCCTCACAAAATCCTGCCAACCTGCCTAACACTCATTTTTGTAGTCTTTTTTTAATTATTTTACTTTTATTTTGAGCCTATTAACCTTCGCTCTCACCTCAGAGATTATCTTGTTCACTTCAAATATTTTCCCCTTCAACTCCTCTGTGGTATTCAAAGCACTAGATGTGTCTTATATAAGAATGCATTCTTCTTTCACATTAGTTTTGGAATAAACAAATCTAATGCTCAACTGTGTCTATTTTTTGCATGAACATAATTTATATCAGTTATTCATGGGGTTGAATAAACAAATCTTTGCTCGACTGTGTCTATTTTGTTCGTGCATCACTTGCGCACCCGGCGAAGTTATATTTCCTAAAACAGTAGTTTGTATTTTTGTTCTTTATAATATATCTTAAGGGATTTTAAATCTTAGATCTTTATGATGTTTACAGAAAACAAACATTTCAATAACTAAATTTGCCAAATTACAAACAAGAAATGTGGAGATTGAAAGCTTTGGAACTCCATTTTGTCATTTGTTTTTTAATCATGTTTTCATAATAATGTTGTCTTGTATTCATATTTCATGTCACGACAACTATTGTCATCCCTGATCAACCTCATAAACTCTGTTAATCACAAAGTGAAAAATTATGGCCATTTGATATCTCGAGTAAATCACACCATCTAATGGCCATTGACAGTTCATTTTATCATTCCTCCTTAAAATGAAATGTTCCTATTGGAAAATAAATAAATCACTAATATTTTTTTTCCATGTTGAATTTTATCTACACCAAGGGGCAAGGGGTGATTGGAAATAAAAGTTTTTAATTTTGATTGAATTTAATTGAATAAAGTGAGCTAAATTTGTATTTAAATAATATATAGATAATTCACTAATATTTAATTTTGATTAATATTTCTTCCCCATCACCAAAACCCACAACCAGATCGCAAGCAAACACAGGCTTGTCCAACCAATAGTTCGTAAACAACTCTGATGAATAATAAAAAGCACATAATTATTTCAAGAGATTCAATAAGGATGATAACGGCTACGCTCACGACCACTATTGCCAACACGTTTTCCGCCGCTAGAAGAGCTGCCGCCACTGCTCCGCCCCCGACCGCCGCCACTTTGAGGCGGCGGCAGCATGTGTGGCTGCAGACCCGGCTGTTGCCTAGCCATTAATAAAGAAATAAAATTCAATTACCATTTACAATTACCATTTGCAACTATTCGTAATATGGATTAGAAAAACTTGGGAACCAAACCTACTGCAATTTAGGCTAAATCACTGAAAAAACACCGTGCTTATCTTTTTAGTTAAAAACAACATATGCATTGTAATCACGAAACATTGTTCACTGTAGCCTTGTAGGAATCTTATACAAGTCATTCGTAGGATTTCAGGTGACATTTTGAGACTTTTTGAAAGTTGAGACTTTTAAAATTTTGAAAATACTGTGAAATCTTTGAAGGTGAGATTTGGATAGAGATTTCATAAATGTTTTTTCTTTTGAAATGTCAACCAATCTTAAAAAGTCTCAACAAATAATAGTCTCATATAAGTTAAATACCTCATGATTTTGTACGAAATTTTAAAATCTCAAATGAATACCTCGAGACTTTTAAGTCTTAAAAAAAAATATAACAAGTTTTCTTATGTTTTAAAAAGTCGTTAGAAGTCCCAAACAAATACACCCTTAGTTTCACTTACAGGACATATCCAATCCTGCCATCGGGCATAAGCATGGGCATCATAGCCATGCCGGGAGAAGCTCCACTTCCATAGAGTAGTGGCTGCAATACAAAATGCATGCACCAATCAATATATCGTGATAAAGAGTAAAATTGACCGGAATAACATATATTTCAATTTGGTGGAAGATTAAGTTTGATGGTAGATAGAGATGGCAGTTAGAAGAGAGATGGCATATAAGGTATTCGATCGACATTGTCCCTCAATGCAAATTTGTCGTGTTTGATTACTGTAAGTGAAGTGAAACTTACCAAAAGAAGCTAATTCATATGGCGTCACCCAAAATGATTACCATTCAGGCGACAAGTTTAGCGACATAGCAAAATGATATATCATGAAACATTTTCTGGCTCTAACTTCATTTCTAAATTAACTTAATTTATAAAACATGTACCACCCCACTTTACGTTTTATCAATGAAATATCCTCTCATGTTGAGTAGCTCTTTGGCGTTGATTGTACAAAAAAAGTAGAGATGAAGGGCAAACTGAGAAAACAAGATGTCTTACTTGTGGGAAGCCTGCACCAGGATAACCGGCACCTAGAGCCCCAAAGGGTGTCAAGCCATATCCCATGTGAGGTGGATAGGTGGGTAATATAGCTGCTTTCTGAGAACTTGATGTCGCAGTCGTTTTCTGATCCGCCTGAGGTTTTGCAAGGGAGCATTCTAGTACTTGTCCTGTTCAAAGAAACCCGAAACTAGGATTAGAGAAGCAAACTAATCTCTAATGGATTTTTACAGCCAAGGACCACAACTAGTGTTGTAATCGAACCGAACGAGCCAAGCTTGGGCATTTTGAGCTCGTGTTCGTTTACGTTCAAGCACTGTTCATGTTCGTTCCTTTTTTTTTTTCTTTTTTTCGAGCAAAAAATCGTGTTTGAGCTCATTCTTTAAGTTGTTCATAAGTTTGAGTTCGTTCGTATTCGAATAATTTAGGATACAAACTTTTTAAATATGTTTTGTTAACTTGAAATTTTGTTCTTTCAAACTCGTTCCAACTCAAAAATAAAAAAATAAAATATCATGATATATACAAAAATTATTATAATAAAATAATGTTCGCGAACGAGCTCATGTTCGTTCGATTATTAAATGACCCTATTTTATTTTCAAACTCGGCTCGATTAACAAACGAACGACCTCGAACGAGCTTTTGTTCGCGAATGTTCGGTTCGTTAACAGCCTTAAGTCCACAACACTAGCTACTACTAGGGGGTCGGGTAGTTACCACCAAGTTCATATTTCTCTGTGTTCTTTAGAGCTTTCATAGTACTTGACCTGTCCGCAAAGTGAACAAAACCATATCTGCTGTTCTCTTGTCCAGGTTTAGCTGGGGGAAGAACAACTTTTGTAATCGTCCCATGATGTTCAAACAAGTCTTTAAGCTGATCTTGAGTTACATCTTGCGGCAAGTTCTTTACATAGACAGCTTTGATCTGTGCGGCATGAACCTAATTAGTGTCTTGTAGACTGACGCATGGAATTTTCCTTTTTTTTTTTTGGGCAGAAGACCATAAGTTTTAAAGAAAAAGTTATAGGTAAAAGGAAATTAATGCGCTCCAATCTGGCACATTGCCTTTCCTCACTTACAAATTCAAACTGAGGATTTTTTCATCTGAGTTTTCTGAAATCATTGGAAAAATCAAAAAAAAAAGAAGAAACCTAAACATGCATTTGGCATTTAAGCACTAATTACGATCAGAACACCAACGATGAGATTGTAGCATGCCAACTAATCATCTAGAAAATTTGAACAAAGAACGAAGAAATACAAAGGGACAAAACCTGAGAAGACGAAGATTCTGCATTTCTTGGATCTGCCCAGCTCACAGTAGGAGCATTGTCATCAAGTTTGAATTTTGGATTAGACATTTTTTGCCTTGAATACTCGGCACAAGCATTGTTATAATACTCAATGAAAGCAAATCCTCGATTCCGACTTGAGTTTTGTGGGTCCTATGAAAATAAACTCACATATTACCATTGGTACACAAGATAAATCAGGACCAACTACATCTAAACAATTTCAAAAATGATGAACAAGGCCAAAATAGAAAAATATTCTAACCTTTAGAAGTTCCACAGCAACAACACCAGGCCCTACTTTATTCACAACTTTCTTCATATCAGCCTCACCCCAGTTTCTGGGAATATTACCGATAAACAGCTTATATTTTGCTTGAGACGACGAACACCTCACCTTTTTCCCCTGAGAATTTGCAAAACACAGATCAATAAATACAACAAACACAGCTTTCGTTTGTCAATTAAAGTGGCATTTCAAATGTACCATTGCACAAATTTGCTGAAGAATGGATCATATAATTGTGAGTCACCCCCCTACCCCCCC